CTAGAACCGGCTACAACCTGCCTGCCGATATAAAAAAATCCAGGGGTGTGTGCACACCACCTTCCAACACAGTTTGACATATGACATTTTCTCCAAAAAAACTTTTTGTCGATGTGTGGAACTTCGAAAATTAACGATGTTCATCTAGACCCGGTTTGAAAAGGGCCCCCCCCCGGTAGTCCACCCTGTATAATGCATGCCCGGTATTCAGTCTAATCCAGGCCTGTCTGCACATCGGCATTTCAAAGTCCCTGATGAAAGGCTTCCCCCGCCATGCTTCCACAGATGAATAGGGGTCTAAGCGGATTAGTGCAACCAGTCCAGCATCCCAGGCTGGTAGCCAGGCCGGTATGAAAGGGGTTTGGCAACAGGGCGAGCTTACCGGGGGGCCCTTTTCAAACCGGTTTAAATGGTCGCCGGCCCTAACTTGTTTACAACTAGAGACGGAATACAAAAATAGTTTTGTTTACTGTGGAAATACAATGTACATGTACGGCCACACTTAGCAAAGTGCAACTACCTTCCTACACGGGGACATTCGCATCCGTCAATCAGTTTTGGTACCAAGCATTTAGATAAATAGATAAATAGGCCTAATAAATCTTTCCTCAAACATATCAATTCTAAAGCCAGATTTTACGACTGTGCTAAAAAAGTCCCACACTAATTCTTGTATTCAATTACACATACACTGTAGCTTTGGCATTTTGATAAATCAATTTCCACACATACTATAGGAGTTAGGCGCGGTGTAGCCTACGCATCTCTAATGTGGGTGTTCTCTATCTGTTGCTTTAAAAATCACTGAACCGGATTGAATCAAATCAAAAGGGGATTTACAGAAAAAATGGGCAGAGATTTTTACAGCAGGATTAAATTTATTTAAGCACTTGAAGAATCCGATCATGTCACTGTAAACTATAAGCAGCTACCAACTATTCTCATGATCGCGTAAAGTTCAAAATGTAATCCTTATTGCAATGGAAACGCGCCAGTTTGGTATTCCAATTGTGTATTCAAAAATGAAGATGTCATAGGTTATTTGACACTACCAATGGGCCCCTACGGTTCTTCTGCATTGTATACGTATGTGCAAAATCTGACACAATGCTGTTGCCCGTGTGTTTGTGCCTGGTGCGGAATATGTTACATTAGTTGTAGATTTATGGGGAAACAAAAACTGAAGACAGAGGCCATATATCCGTCGAGGGCAAATAAAAAATAAACGGTACCTTGCGTACAAGAAGATCGCTCATGTATACGCGTCATGGAGGGTGTAAGCAGATATAAAGGTCATTAAAGTCCCACGAAATTGGAAAATTAGGTTCATTGGTCAAGTAGACTGCACGCTGGCACAGGTGGGATCACTTTTTGCTCCTGCAGCTGGGTTTGATCCCAAGCTGTCTTTTCTTTTCGTCCACAAATTTTTCTTCTTTTTAAATTTACTCCAACATTTAATTGCAGATGATTGGCTTGGCGGTTTTGTTTTTAATACCG